GAATACTGTCACTTTGAGGGGGAAATCGGGGAAACCAAAATTCTCATTTTTGATAAGGGGTACCATCATCAAAATTTTCAAAAAAGGGCAAAAAATGAAGTTTCCCAGATTTGAATGCAAACCAATTGGGAATCATAGCAATCAAATTGCGAGCCCTACGAGGTATTACATTCCTCTTTTGGGCCATTTTTGGCTGTGCTTTGGCCAAAAAACTGATATTCTTGCGGCCAAAATCAAGTATACGCCTTTTGGCAGCAGATAGCCCGGTTTGGTTGCCGTTCCATAGCTCTAATTTTGTTCTAGCAAGCCGCATAGCTAAAACAATGACAGTTTTATGCAGCTAACAACCAAAACTTTAAAACCCTATATTTGTTTTCATCGGTTTTGTTCTTATTTTGTGGTGCAAGCTCTGATTTAATGGCTGAAAAGTCCGAAAACCCATTTTTTGGCAGAAATTTGCAATATTGTGTTCGGTTTTTAGCTCTAGCTCGGCCAAAATAAGTCGCACAGTCAAAAGAACGACAGTTTCGTGCTGCTAACGACAAATACTAACCACCCCTATCCCTCGTTTTTCGATTTTCGGAAAATTAATTTTGGCCCAAATTTCGCATTTTTGATAAGGGGTACATCATCAAAATTTTCAAAAAAGGGCAAAAAATGACGTTTCCCAGATTTGAATGCAAACCAATTGGGAATCATGGCAATCAAATTACGAGCCCTATGAGCTATTACATTCCTCATTTGGAGCATTTTTGGCTGTGCTATGGCTAAGAAACTGATTTTTTTGCGCCCAAAATCAAGTATAAGTCTTTTAATAACAGAAAACCGGCTTTGTTGCCGTTTCTTAGCTGTAACTTTGTCAAATCAAGTATCACGGCTACAACAAAGGCTGTTTTATGCAGCTAACAACCAAAACTTTAAACCCCTATACCTCCTTTTAACAGTATTGCACTGATTTTGTTGGGGCGAGTGCTGATTTAATGCCTAAAAAGTTTAAAAACCTATTTTTTACAGAAGAGATTCCTGTTTTGTTGCCGTTTCTTAGCTGTAACTTTGTCAAAACAAGGCTTGCGGCTTAAACAGTGACTGTTTTATGCAGTTAACAACCAAAACTTTAAGCTCCCATACTTTCTTTTATCATTTTTGCTCTGGTTTTTTGCTGCGAGCTCTGATTTATTGGCTGAAAAATCAAGAAACCAATTTTTAACAGAAATTTGCAATACTATTTGCGAGTGTTTAGCTCTAGTTCGGCCAAAACAAGACGCACAGCCAAAAGAACAACTGTTTTGTGCTGCTAACGACCAATACTTACCACCCCTATCACTCGTTTTTCGATTTTGGGAAAATCAATTTTGGCCAAAATTTCGCATTTTTGATAAGGGGTATCATCAAAATTTTCAAAAATGGGCCAAAAATTAAGTTTCCCAGATTTGTATGCAAATCAATTGGGAATCATGGCAATCAAGTTACGAGCCCTACGAGGTATTACATTCCTCATTTGGACAATTTTTGGCTGTGCTATGACCAAAAAACTGATTTTTTTTCGGCCCAAAATCAAGTATACGCCTTTTGGCAGCAGATAGCCCGGTTTGGTTGCCGTTTCTTAGCTCTTAGTTATGGGAAAAATTCTGAAATGTTCGTGAAAATATATCACATTATTCGCACAGTGTAGTTAGTAACCAGAGAAAGCCCAAACCTCAAGCCCAATGCCAACTTCTTCTCCTGCTCCTACTTTCACCGCCCGCTCACTGCCCGCCCACTTCCTCTGCGGCGGCCTCTGCTGGCGTTGAAACTTTTTTGTTTTCCTTTGGGGCGGTTCAAATAATTTTTTGACTGATTGAATTATTAATAAAATTGATCGAAATGCAAAGAGAGCGGCACGCTGACGACAACGAACGCTGCCGCTGCTGCTGCTGCTGCTGCTGGTCAGCAAACAAAAAAGTAAAATAAAATAAAATAAAGTAGCTGAACGGAAATTCATATCACAGTTTTTCGATTTTTCATCTTTGCTTTTCTTATTTGTTGTTATTATTTGATTGAATTACTTTAAAGCAATTGCCGGTTGCTGAGAGAATCAGTCCGCAGTGACTAACTTCCAGCCCATATAAGTATGCTATAAATCAAGAAAGTTCATACTGTAGGTCACATTTAATTAACACAAATTCCCATTAATATGCATTAATTACAGTTGACTTCGTTTTCATTTTGTGTGTTGAACAACAAACAGGGACATCAATTGTGCCTGACAGTTGATCAGTCGACACAACTTTCCATCAAAATGAGGGCGCCCAGTTGATTATTCCATTATTTGTGGTTGATTTATAATTTAATGATAGTGGCACTTTAAAAAAAAAAAAAAAAACCTATTAATATAAATCTCCTCTTAGCTATCTTTACAAACCGAATTATCCTTTAACCCTGATAAATATGAAAACTCTTCTTTACATTTTATTTTTCCCCAGTCGCTTTTTTTTTTTTTCCTTGGTTTTTTTTTTTTTTTTTTGCTGCTATCGCTGAAGTGTATTAAATATTTACAGAATATTTTTAAATCAAAATTAAATAATAAAAAACGAGGTTTGCTCATGCACTCCGGGCGACCGACCCCCCAGTTCGTTTGTTCGTCTGTCCGTTCGTCAACCTCACTGTGGCCACCCCATTTTCCTGTTGCAAGAAGCGGGAGGAGTATGTGGGGAAGGAGGTCGTGGGGGCTCTGAACCCCCAATGTCCACCAATTGCGCCTTTTTATTAATTAATTTTTTTGGTGTTGTTGCTGTTGTTTTTTTAACCATTTTTTCGCCCTTTTCGTTTTTTGTGGCTGTGCTCTATATTTTGATGTCCTGCGATTTCAATTTTTATTAAGAATATTTTAAAGGATATTTATAGGATATATTTGCAAAAAAAATTTAGTTTGAAATTCTATTGATTAGATTAAAAGTTCTTTAATTTTTAAAGAATATTTCTATGTTCTTATTCTTGGGGAAGTTCTATATAATAAATGAAGGAAGAGAGCTTTTCAGATCAACTTTTAATGCTTTCTAAAATATAAAATATTAAGTTACCCCTTAAAATAAATTCCTAGATTTATAGGGCATTTTCAGTTCCATAATTTCCTTTCTACTAAAACAAACTTTTGCTTGTTATATTCGTTTTGGGTTTTCATTTTGATTTACAACATTTTTTTGGTTGGCCGCTATTTGTTGATCTCTTTCTGGTTTGTTGTTACTGTTATTAATATTAAATATTTATTTTGTGATTTTTATTTAATTTGCAATCTATAATTGCAATTTGATTGAGCTTTTTATATGATATGTGAATCAACATAAAAAAGTGTTGCCTACATTTCGACGTTGCAATTTTTTTCAGCCCCCGTCCGTCCGCATGTGTATGTAATGTGTGTGTGTGTGTGTGTGTGTGGGGTTAAAGTGGCACTGATCCACCTGTTCAACCCACCAATCCCGCCCCTCCTCGCTTAACAATCAAAATTAAAATGAGTGGCTTATTAAAATTTTAACGCTCAAAAAGCATTTTTACTCATCATTTCTGTTTTTTTTTTTTCCTGAGCTTGGACAACGTATAAGGTTGATGGGATGGGTGGCTTTTTGGGGGTGGCAGGTGGTGCTGTAAAGTGGAGTAAAGCGAGTGGCTACTTTGATGTATTTTCATATTCCACTGAGATTCGCGAAATACGCAGGCTGTGGAGGAGAAAGTAGAGGGGAAGTAGGGAGATGCTACGCTACTGCTGCTGCTGCCGCAAGGACGAAAAGGACTCCTCACTGTTTGGTCAGCAGTCAGTCAGCCAGTCTCCCTCTCTATCTTTCCCTCTTTCCATCTGACATTTAAAACGCTGATTGATTTTACTTACAATTATTCTTTATATATTTCCACCCTCCTGGTCTTTTGACTGTGTCTGTAGGTAGGGTTGGGGGAAGGGAGAGGTGGAGGGGGGGACGCTCGTCCTTTATTTTAATTACATTGATTTTTGGTTAAATGCCGCAATTGTGTTTGTGGCGGTTTTATTTGCACATCATTAAAATTGTAAAATTATTAAAGTGGCAAAACAAAAACTAAGACAAACACAAAATTGCCACCGAGTCAGGACTTTTCAATGGCTGGTGATGGTGGTGGGTGGTGTGCTTTTCCAGAGGGCTGTTTCCTATGCTAATCCATTTCATTTAGAAGTCTTAACTTGAGGGTATATACTCGCATCCAGCTGAAGTCTTGATCAAAAAGGGATTAAAATTAATTTTGAAGAGAGAAGCAAATATTGTCAAAGTGATTATTAGCCATATTCATGTTTACGCTTTACCGTTTATAGAAATCATAATTTTTAATATTTACTTTTAATATTAGGAAGTTACCACCCATAATCTACCATGCCTGGCAGATCCCCCCTTACACACCACCTTATCCCTTCTCAAAGCATCCATTACCATTTATTGCCATCAAACCAACCAACCAACCAACCAAACAACCATCCATCCATCTGTCCATCAGCTATCGTCGTCGTCCTGAGCCGCGCATCCTTGTAGCCCGCCACCCTCCTGTGATTTTTTGTTTTCCATGGAAAGCTTGAGGGGGAAGGCGTTTTAAAATATTCAATTGGCTGCTGCTCATTATTTGTTAAGTGGCTTAATGAAAGCGGTCTCCTTCTCCTCCTTTCTCGCAGGCCGCCTCCCCTTCTCCCTCTCCTTTCCTGACCGACCAGTAGCTTTAATTAAATCGCATTTTTTAATGTGTTTGCATAACTTTTGACTACACTCTCCAACAAAACTGTTGGTCCAATAATGGGATTGGTACAAATTTAAGATTTATCTATCTATGAAACTGCTTTTTCAGCTGCTTTTAAACAACATCCTTTTGAAATAAGAAATATTATATTTAATTCATTAAAAAGTTGAAAGATTAAATATTATTTCTTTAAGAATATAAATTATTTTTCCCAAGTGTAACCCCCCTTTGCTAACCTTGGCATTTTCTTTCTTTCCTCTTCTCTTTTCCAGACAAACTAGCCAGCTGCTTTGTGTGCAAGGCGGAGGCGTGTGCCCGCACCCGTCCACTGAAGAAGGGGCGTGGCCAGCAGTATGGGATACCCGACGAGACAATACCGGCGGGAGCACGGGTCTGCAATAGCTGTCAATGCAAATCGGTGCGCAGCCGCTATCCCAATTGTCCGCTGCCCACGTGTCCGAATCCCAAGGATCGGGCCCAACGTCTGCGGAACATTCCCTCCCGGCTCTTTGAATTGGCACCGGAGATTCGTGATCCGGTAATGGCCGAATTCCAAATACCGCCGCATGCCACCCGCTGCTGTTCGGCCTGCCTGATGCGCATCCGTCGCAAGCTAGATCCGCAGCTGAATCTCACGGACGGCTCCAGTGGCGGAGCGGGCAGTGGCAGCGGTGGCGATGAGACGGATGTTAGTACATCGTCGTGTGATGAACGAGAACCGGGTGGATCGGATACAGCATCCGTAGAGAGTCCAGAGAATCTGCAGCGCCACAAGGTCCGTCATTACCACCAGCAACAGCAGCAACAACAGCAGCAGCAACAACAGCAGCAGCAGCAGCAGCAGCAGCAACTATCCCAACCACAGCCACCGCCAGCGCCGCAACAGAAGGCATCGACTCCGCGAGGTGGTGACAATGGAACGCCATTGATTATCACACCAACACGGATGAGTAGCAAGGCAGGAGTGGCTCCACCACCTGGAGCAGGTGATAATGATCGACTATTGCCACCAGCCGCTGGACAGGCACCTAAAAAGCAGAAGACCAGCGAAGAATACGATTCCTCGGCCACGGAAACGGCGGATGAGGAGAATGAGAACTCACCGGCCAATCGCCAGAGTCCCAAAGTCCTGTTCCATGGCCATGATCGTGGTCATGTGGGTCATGCCAATAATGTTGCAGGTCTTCAGCCACCGGTGGCCAACATGGGGCCGGGTGGTGGTGTGCCCACGGGCGGAGCACCGGGTCAGCAGGTGAACGGACCGATTAGTATGCGTCGCGAGGCGGTCAACAATGTCCAGGATTGTGTTTTCTCGGTGATCGAACGTTCGCTGAAGCACAAGGGACCGCAACCCAAAGGCGGACAAGGTCAACAGCAGGGTCAGGGTCAAGGACAGGGCCAGGGACAAGCTCAAGGACAAAGCCAATCCCCATCCCAGCAGCAACAGCAACAGCAGCAGCAGCAGCAACAACAGCAACAACAACAACAGCAGCAATCTGCTAATAATCTGGAACGCAAGGAGCTGACAATTGTCAGGGAATACCGCCAAGATCCGGGTATTCTAAAGCAGCAATCCGGCGGATTACCACAGGGAGCACCGCCCACCTCGGGAGCCGGTAGCCTGCCGCATGGCACCTCCGTGCAGAAGCTACCATCTCGTCCTGCGGCAGTGGCACCACCGCCGCCGCCGGCTCATCCATTGACGCCCACCAGTACAGGAAGTGCCAGTGGCAGCAACAACGGTACCAGTGATAGTCTTGCTACCCTATCGGTGGTCAACTCTCACATGGGCGTTGGTGTTGGTGCCGTGGGACAGCTCAGTCATCCAGGCCTTATGGGACACGCTCCAAGCGCTGGAGGCGGAGTGGTAGGAGGAGGAGTCGTTGGTGTGGATAAGGCCACCATTACACCGGTTGTAAAGACCTCGAGCGGATCATCGAAGAGCGGTGGTGCGTCCACTCATTCGACTCCCACGCCGCCGGAGACCATAATCTATAATGTGCCCGCGGCGCATCCGCAACGTGGTATACCACCGCCGCCGCAGCACTCGGTACATCCTGCCCATCCGTCGCATGCCCAACATCCGGCTCATCCGCAACATCCATCGCATGGCCAGCATCCGCAGCTACAAGTCCCAGAACCAGAACCTCAGACTCTGGACTTGAGCATTAAGAAGCCACCGCGTGATGGCCATTCCCCGCATACGGGTGCCGGTGGTTTGAGCAGTTCTGGATCGGGTGGTCCACCCACATCATCGGATCGACATCATGGTCCACCACCACCGACCATGTCAATGAAGCACATTGTCCGCTCGACGGGCATGTATCGTGGCGATGCCGTAACCGTTCCTTCACTCGCAGCGCCCAGTTCGTATCTGTATCCGACACCACCGCATGGAGTGCTTAAGGCCACCGGTGGTGCTCTCTATCTTCAACCAGTCCCGGTGCCCATTTCCATTTCCGGACAAGGTCAACTACCGCCAAGAGCTGGACAACCGCCGCCGGCACAGCCGCCATCTAGCAGAGGTGTGGCCAAGGCACCACCCAAGCTGAGTCCACAGCAGGCCCATCATTTGCATCCCAGTCATGGGCATTCGCCGTCGCAGCAGCAACAGCAGCAGCAGCAGCAACAACAACAGCAGCAGCAGCAGCAACAACAACAACAGGCGGCTGCACAACAGCAATTGCTGGTGAAGAGTGGCTCCATAACCCATGGTACACCGGCAAATAGTGCCCAACAACAGATTATCGTACACGCAGCAGCAGCTGCGGCTGCAGCCTCATCATCATCGCTTCTCAGTCCGAAGTTCGAGGGTCTGGTTAGGCAAACCACACCCGACGGATCCGTAGCCGGTGGACCAGGAGGACCTGGTGGCAGTGGCAAACATGGATCCATAACGCAGGGTACACCACTGCACCTGCCGCCGCATCATTTGGAGGCCAAGAGGCCATACGACAACTACTACAAGAGCTCGCAGCGTCACAGTCCCGCCCAGCAGCCGGGTGTCAATCAGCAATTGCCTCCGCCACCGCAGCAATCATCGCCCCAGGCGCCACCGCCACAGGGTTATGGAGTGGGCGTAAGCTCACCCTATGCTCGATCACCATTTGGCGGAGTGGTGGAACAACCACCGGTACTAAGTACACGCCAGATCGTGATGCATGACTATATCACCTCGCAGCAAATGCAGGGACAGCAACAACAGCAACAGCAGCAGCAGCAACAACGCAATATGTCGCGTGGCAGCAGTGCCAGCGGTGGTGGAGGAGGCGGTGGGTCTGACAAGGAGTCACCCTCACCCAGGAACAGTGTAGGCAGTGCCGGTGGTTTTACTTATGGCGGTGACAAGGAATCAGCGCCCAGGGGCCGACTGGAGTACTCCAGCCGGGCATCGCCAGCAGATCATGCCAATAGGTGAGCTTGAAGATTGGGATATCGTTTGGATTCCTTTACTAATTCCTGTTTTTTTCGTTTATCCAGCACACCTAGTCCTCATCGCACGCCTCCGCCGCAACGCCAGGGTGTTATCCAGAGGCACAACACGGGCTCCAAGCCGCCATCACCGGCAGCTCCGCCACCAAGCAGAATGCACATCGGTCCCCCGTATCAATATGTTCCAAGTAAGTTTAGCAAATCAATTGCAATCCTTTAGGGAAACTTATTCTTCACCCTTTCGTTTCTTCTAGGTGGTCACGATGCCCTGGCATCGTTTGTAGACGTGGCCGTCCAGCAGCCGCAGCTGCCGGTGCCATCACAAAAGGATGATAAGTCACCAGGTGGTGCTGCACCGCCGCCAGGGCAAGTACCTGGACCCGGATCTGGACCACCACTTGGTCCCGCTGTCCTGCCGCCGCATGCTGTGGTCGGTGTGGCCCAGCCACCGCCGCCAACCGCTCACCACGATCAGCGATATCGTGAATTGGCCTTGCATCATCATCACACTGTGATGCAGCAACAAATTGCCCATCAGCAGCATTACCGCAGCCTCAATGTGGCGGCCCAGGTCGATATGCAGCGACAAATGGATCAGGCAAAGCGTGCCATGCGCCACCAGCAACATCAGCAACAGCATCAGGCACAGCAGCAGCACAACCATGCCCTCGAACGGGATAGGGAGATGATGCAAAGCCAGGAGAGGATGCGTGAACGGGATCGTGAACGTGACAGGGAACGTGAACGGGAGCGTGAACGAGAGCAGCGGGATCGAGAACGTGATCGAGACCGTGAACGGGAACGCGAACGACGCGAACAGGATCGCGAACGGCGTGTGGTGGCCGAAGAAAGGGAGCGCGACAGTCGCCGTATGGAGCGAATGTTTGCTGGCGGTGTGGTCACAGCACCAGTTGGAGCCGGTGGTGGAGGACCGTCTCCCGGTCAATTCTTGAGGGCTTCAGTGCCAGAAACTGGTCCACCACGCTCAATACCAGATCGTGAACGGGAATCGTAAGTTTTTCAATAAGAACTTTGTATATATCCAGTTCCTTAATGACACTAATCATCATCATCGTTTCACCCATCCAGATACTACCGGCAGGCACACGGCGGTCCAGCTCCAGAGGATACCCCCGGACAACTGAGCGCCCAAAGTCTAATCGATGCCATCATCAAGCATGAGATCAATCGCTCCAATGATGCCACAGCTGGTCCAGGACGCGAGTTTCCCCGTCCGACCTTCGTGCATGCCCCGTTGCCGCCACGTGGATCTGGTTCGGGCGGCTCGACGGGCACTAGATCATCGCCAGCGAATGTCCTCCATCCGATGTATTTACGTGATCATCGTCAGACCATTGATGGTGGAGCGGTCTCTCTACTGACGGCGGAGAACAATGGCAAGCCAAGCTCGTCGGGATCGCCAAGTGTAATTAATATTGATTTAGATCAGGAACGGATTTCTGCAGCAGCCGCAGCAGTTGCCCAGCAGCAACAGCAGCAGCAAGCACCGCCGCCGCCATCGCAATCGTCGCAGTCAAGATCGGTGCATGGTCAGCTGAGAACACCGACCTCCCAGGCTGGCGGTTCGGCACCAAGTCCCCAGCAGATTCATACGAAGAGCATTACCTTTGGGGAGCTTACTGATTCGATAATAACCAATGACTATGGTACCAGTCCGCATCTGCGACCGCCGCCAACCTTTATGACCTATTTGCAGCAGGAGGCTCAGACCATGCTGCCACCGGAACGCTGGAAGCAGAATCGCCGTATGCAGCAGAAGGTTGACGAAGCGAAGCACCATTCACAGCAGCAACAGCAACAGCAGCAGCATCAGCAGCAGCAGCAACATCACGCCCAGCAACAGCAGCAACATCATGCCCCACAGCATCATCCACAGATGACTGGTAGTGGCTCTGGCTCAGCACCAGGTGGCGGTGGTCAGGGTGGGGCACCCGGTGGCCCCGGCAGTGGAGCAGGAAGCGGCGCCGGCAGAGCCAATACGCCCGGCGAAGATGGACGTAACATTATCCGTATGCCGCAGCCTGTCAGTCCAAGGAAATATAGCCATGAGATGATGCTACACCACGTGATGGCTGGTGGCGCGGCGGGTGGTGATCAATACTTTATACCCAGTCGTGTGGTGCCTTTGGAACAAAGAGGAACGCCCAGCGGTGGAAGTGGAGCACCTGGAGCAGGAGGACCCGGCTCTGGAGGCGGTGCCTCGACCATTGACAACTATGTAAAGACCCGCATTGCCGAGGTAATGCGCGATGACGTTGCCGGCTATGGCAAGAACCGAACTGTTGAGGTGCGAACCGATGATGAAGTAACCGCCGATATGGTGGCCCATTCGCATGCCGCCGTTCACGCCGCCCATGTGGCGCACGTGGCCCAAGTGGCTCATGCTTTGGAGCTGCAGCACAGAAGCAAGGAGCCGCCGCCACCGGAGATTAGTGTTTCACGAAAGACGCCCAATCAATACGAGGTGGTAGATGCCAGTGGTAGACGCTCTGCTGGCAGTGGCTCCGTGTCGGTCTCCGTTTCCGGGGCCAATAGTCATCATTCACCGTATCATCCACCCGCGTCGGCCTATGCTCCCAGCACCTATGCCTTCCCCTATAGCGCGCTGACTGTGCCGAGTGCTGCCGGTGGATTACCGCCACCACAGCCACTGCAGCTAGCCCACCAGGCAGTGGCACCTCCCGGCCATCTAAGTGCCAAGGCCAAGGCAGCACATGCCCTCAGTGAACTTGGTGCAGTCGGTGGCGGTGTTTCCTTGGTGGTGGGCGGTGGATCCGGTGGTATTGCAGGCGGACCAGGTGGTGTATCGGTGGGTGGCGGTGGCCCCGGTGCCGGCGGACCAGGAAGTGGTGGAGGCGGACATAATTCAAGTTCATCGTCAGCAGCTGCTGTTGTGGCAGCTGCAGCAGCAGCGGCAGCGGCTGCCAGTGAATCGAAGCCATTGCTGTTGTCCAAGTACGATGCCCTTAGCGACGAAGATTAGTTGTGACTGCCGGCGTCGTCCTCGGCGTCGGCGTCGCACCTGCGGCCAGCAGCAATAGCAGTAGCAGCAACATTACCGCCCGGCAGCAGCACGAGCGTTGTCTACGGCTATCCTGGCTACCGGCGACACTCCCAGCATCAACAACAGCCACCAACACATCCGCATCTTGTCCAGCAGCAGCAACAGTCGCCGCATCGTCAACAGCAGCAACAGCAACAGCAGCAGCAGCAGCAGCAGCAACTCTACCAGACCACTGTACTGCCTCCTCCATTGCAGTCCCAGCAGCAACTACAGCAACAGCAACAGCAGCAGCAACTCCATCAGCAGCAACAGCAGAGGAGCCTCTACTATGCCAGTGAGCATTATCCGGGAGGCAATGGAGGCAGTACTGCTGGCGGCAATCCAGGCTACTACTGACAGCAACACTAATTGCAGCAGCAGGAGCAGCAACATCATACGTAGGTTACCACAATCGAAACACCAAGTTGTTGGACAAGAAGCCTGTAAGGTTAAAAAACAAAATATGTATAAAAAAAAGAAAACAATAAGGCTTTAACTAAAAACAAGATTTAAATCAAGAAAGAGAGAGATAGAGAGATCGAGATATTATGAAACAAGCGAAGAGACAGAGTGGGATGGCAGGTAGACTTGACATCTAGCTAAAATTATGATTTCGATATTTTTAACGTAACTTCTTCAGGTTGCTTTCAAAATCAGACTTATTTTTGAATTGTAAAAAAAAAATCAACAAAAAATTGTAAACTTTAAAAATGCTAAACAACCAGAAAACTAATAATTTTTGTAATTAATATTTACCAAAAACTGCAATACATTAATTATAATTTCATTTTGGCTTAAAATCCTGTGGCAATCTTTGCAATATTTTCATTATAATTTCATTTTGGCTTTAAAAACTGAGAAATTACTGCAATATTTTCATTAAATTTATAAAATTAGTTTAACAATACTTTAACAAAGTCTTTAAATTCAAATTTAAGTTTCCAAACAGAGAATCTACAATTGTATATATAAAAAGCTAAATTATATAAGAATTCTGTTCGACTAACTTTGATATATGATGTGAAATCCACCTGTATCCTCTCGATTCTTGAGGCATACACACACCCTCACACTCGCATAACTGCGTGTCCTTTTTGTCGTTTATATGTATTTGTGTTTTCGTTAGTGTGAACGCGTGTGTGTATGTAATTGTCCTTGTTCGTTCGTGTATAATTCCTCGACCTCGTAATCCTTCTCGTTAAAACACAGCTCTAACCTCAGCACCCCGAGTCAGAAAAGTAATGGAAAAAATGGTAGTGACAAACATATATAGATATATACAAAAAGAAAAACTAAAAATCACACCACACACACACACACATGCATATATATATACAATACACTTAAGATTATAAGAAGTAAACAAAATAATAAAAAAAACACACTGTTGGGCTGTTCTTAGAAAAAAAAAACAAAAAACCTAAACAAGTAAAACGAGAGACAAGTAAATATATATATATATATATATATATATATATATATACACGTATATATATGTATATTACCTAATAGAACACTTTAAACATTATTTAAACGACTTTTTGTAAATTTCATAAAACAAAAAAAAACAGAAAAGAAAACTGCGCATAATTTTAATGAGCATCATTTAAAATATCTTATTAATACATTTACCACTAATATTATTCGTTTTTTTTTTTTATTTTTTGCTATTTTTATATGCAAGATCTAAGTTAAATATGGAGCATGATTGTGTTTTATTCTCTCCTTAAGCAAAAGCTATTGAATTATGTACGTTTAATTGATAAGCTAATGAAAGTTTCGATGTAAGTAAAACAAAAAAGAAATAAAACTAAGCCCAATTACATATAAATATATATATATATATATATGGGGATTATACATACGCATATTTTTTTATATAACACTTATGTCTTACGAAACAGTTTTAGTGTTTAGCTACATTACTGTTTAATTCGTTTTTTTAACTTATTTTTTTTTTATATATACATATGCAAACGCGAAACAGAATCGTGTGAAACCAATTGAGGAAAAACCGTGAAAACAAAAAAATTCAATATTTTTAATACATAATGAAACTAAAAAACGAAACAAAATCTATATAGTAAATATATATATATATAGATATATATATATATAAAGTAAACAAACAAACGCTAAGACTTATTCAAACAAAAACAAAACAAAACTGTAAAATATTAAAAGATAAACGATAAATATATAAATATATGTAAAAGCTAACGATGCAGATATATTCGCAACCGGAAACCGGAAATGAAACGGCAAAACGGAAACGGATATTAAAAAAAAACCCGAAACGCAACTCTGGCCGAGAGCAGCGCGCGCAGCAACGTTTTAGTTAAGAGCAGGAAGCGTATTTTTTTTTTATAAATATATATATATATATATAAAAATTAAAATAAAAAAACAAATTCTATATATATATATACAGAAAATTTTACAAAATATATATATATATATATAAAAATGATAATAAATGTATGTAAAACGGCAGCATAATAACTTACGGAATAAACAGCGCCAGAGGGGTTCGAGCCACGAAGGATCATCGGGGTGGGGCGAAAGCGGCCGGGACTGGACGGACGTGGAGCTCGAGGAGCCGCCAACACAACGAAACTGCTAGCTTCGTCCCCGCCTCTGTAGATCATCGATGGCTGGCCGATCCTTGATAGAGAGCACTTTCTACACATATAAATAAAAAAAAAAATTATATATATATATATATAAATGAATAATGTATGAATAACCGAATTTTATAGCTGGGCGAATTACAAATTTAAAAAGAAAAAACCGCCAGCTGAATGGATGTAAAAGAAAAACAAAAAAACAAGAAAAAACAAGCACAAGGCGTGCCCTGAAAATGATTTAAGCAAATCACAAAAAATACAAATTCAAATTCAAAAAATTCGCTATATATTGAAGGAACTTCTATTGATTATTGGTTTTCCGTGTTTTTCTTTCTGTTTTTCCTTTTCTGTTGTATCAATTTCAAATCGATATAGTTGTATGGAAAACGAAAAGAAACAAAATAAAATGTGGAGTAAGAATGGCGGTTCATAATGATGATGATGATGATGAAAATGATGATGATAACAATAAACACAAATTATGAATGAGAAGATTTAAATGTAATGAGAGCGCCGAGTCGCCGAGCTAGAGCTGATTATGATCGATACATGATAATGATGATGTTTAGCACTTAAGTTTTAGTTGTAACTTTATGCCTTAAGTTGTAAGCTTAAAAATAATAATATAAAATTAAATACAACATATTAAAAAGCAAACAAAACAAAATAAAAACAAATACAAAAAAATAAAACAAAAGAAATGTATAACAAAATGTTCTCGTTTTCTTAATTAATTTCATTATAATGGAAATGGCTTAGTTTTAGATACATTACAGATTACAGATGTCACTTTTGAACAAGGAAAAATGATTAAGAAACTATATTAGCTTTGTGAGAAACCAATTAGTGTCTTACCTTTTCAGCCTTGATAATAAGGACAAATCTCCAATCCTAGACATTTCTATAATTTCACCAATCAGTTTCTCACCTTTACAACAAAGTGAGGGAGTATGTAAGGAAGGACAAATCTCCATCCTTTACATTTTAATAAATTCGCCAATCAGTTTCTTACATTTACAACCATGGAAGTAAGAAAGGACACATCTTCAATCCTATAGATTTTTATACTTTCACCAATCAGCCTTTACAACAAAGTAAGAAAGGATAAATCTCCAATCCTATACATTTTTATACAATCAGTTTCTAACCGTTACAACCAAATAAGGAAGGAAACATCTCCAATCCTATACATTTTTATAAATTCGCCTTTCAGTTTCTCACATTTACAACACAGAAACTAAGAAAAAAAGGACAAATCTCCAATCCTAAACCTTTATATAATTTCACCAACCAGTTTCTCACCTTTACAACAAAGTAAGGAAGTATGTAAGGAAGGACAAATCTCAATATAAATTCGCCAATCAGTTTCTCACTTTTACAACATTGAAAGTAAGGAAGAACAAATCTCAAATCTTATATATTCTTATAATTTCACCAATGAGTTAGTCACCTCTACAAATTTGGACGTAAGGAAGGACAAATCTCCAATCCTATACATTTATATAATTCACCAATCAGTTTTTCACCTTTACAACAGTGTAAGGAAGGACAAATCTCCAATGCTATACATTTTTACAAATTCGCCTTTCAGTTACATCATTGATGGTAACGAATGTCAAATCTCCAGTCCTATACAATTCTATAATTTCACCACTAAGTTTCTCACCTTTACAACAATGTAAGGAAAGACTAATCTCCAATCCTATACATTTTTATACAATCAGTTTCTCACCCTTACAACCAAGTAAGGAAGGACAAATCTGCAATCCTATATATTATTATAAATTCGCCTTTACAACATAGAAACTAAGAAAGAAAGGACAAATCTCCAATCCTTAACCTTTATATAATTTCACCAATCAGTTTCTCACCTTTACAACAAATTAAGGAAGTATGTAAGGAAAATCCATCCTATACATTTTTATAATTTCACCAGTTTCTCACCTTTACAACAATGTAAGGAAGAACTAATCTCCAATCCTATACATTTTTATACAATCAGTTTGTCACCTTTACAACCAAATAAGGAAGGACAAATCTCTAATCCTAAACATTTCACCATTACAACATTGATAGTAAGAATGTACAAATCTCCAATCCTATACATTCTTTTAATTTCACCAATCAGTTAGTCAGCTTTATAACATGGAAAGTAAGGAAGGACAAATCTCCAATCCTATAGATTTTTATAGTTTCACCAATCAGTTTCTCACCTTTACAACAAAGTAAGAAAGGATAAATCTCCAACCCTATTTTTATAAATTCGTCAATCAGTTTCCCACATTCACAAATTTGAATGTAAGAAAGGACAAATCTCCAATCCCATACATTTTTAAAAATTCACCAACCATTGGTAAAGTAAGGAAGGACAAATCTTAACCTATACATTTTCATACAATCAGTTTATCACCTTTACAAATTTGAAAGTAAGCAAGGACAAATCTCCAAACGCATACAGTCAATAGGTATCAAAAATTCTATAATTTTTAACCAATCAGTGGTTTATCGCAGAACACACCGAAAGCTAAAGTAGCTTCACATCCATCAGCCCGACTGTTTCCGAATCACAAGAAAGCTTTTTTTTTTAGTACACAAACACTTCGACGTCGCGCCCGAAAAAGTAAGCGGTACGAGATAATACAGAGATTAGAGTGATAACCCTTGTTATCAGAAGCAGAACAACCTTGCTTCTAACAAAGTATATTTAAATACAATTTGATTATATTTTTTCATTTATTTTGTAACGTTTTTTGTTTGTTTAATTGCTATTTAACTTAAATATTGCCATAAACTAAATTGTTTTCACTTTAATTTACTATATAAAAATACGCACAATAGTGTTGCAATGGAAGCATAAATAGGCATGTTTCAGCATTAACAAAATTCATGTACAATTGTGTTCATTTCTAAGTGTTTGTTTTGTTGTTTTGTCTTTTTCGTTGTTTTCTGTTTTCTGTTTTTTTTTTTCTTCTTTTCTTTCACTTAATAGTTTTTGTTTGTTGTTGCCAAGGCGGGGATATCTATGAAAAAGTTATGGTTTACAATGATTATATAAATAACGAACAAAGTATATATATATAGTGTATAATTCAACTGGCATTACATTTCTTGTTCTTCTACTTTGATTTATTAATCATTCAAGAGTACCACATATTAATTTAATTAGTTAACTTATTATTTCTCTTGTTTGTTTGTGTGTTGTTGTTGTTTTTCTTAGGAGGAGGAAGACGACTTGGTTAAGTATTAAGTGTTATTAATTCCGATAAGGCCATATACTTGCTTCATGCGGGGCACAGTTTATGTTTTCTTTGTTTTTGTTGTACAAAGGGAAGAACGCATTAAAAAAAAAAATAATAATAATAATAATATTAATAATAATCATCATGATGATAACCAAAGCTCAGGTTTAAGTTAGGGGGTTTTTTGTTGTTTTTTTTTTGTTGTAGTTTCTTTCTTTTAAATTTAAATAGAGCAAAAAACAGTGTATTATATAAAAGTAATATTAAATATATATAGTAAACCTTTGCACGCTGCCTTAACTCTCAATTCTGATCAACAAGTGTTGTGTGTGTTTTCTCTTTTTTGTATTTTTGTGTGTGCTTGTTTTTGGAAGTAAAATCAAATCGAAAGTTGTATATAAAATAGACTTTAAAATAATAATAAATAATTAATATGCCTTTTTGCACTCTCTGTCTCTGCGTTTCCTTTTCCATTTTTCACAAGACTATACATAATTTGTGTTTTGTATATATATATATATATATATTTATATATATAATATTAATGATAAGGCACTTTGAGAATTATTTACCCCCCTTGATAAACATGCGTGGAATTTGCTCTTTCCTCGGACAGTTTTTTCCGTTTTTTTTTGTTATTTTTTTTGTTTTTTGTTTAAATTTGTTATTTCTACTGTTGGTTTTTGTTTTTACATAATCATAATACGCCGAGTGAAAAAATAGAATAATAAATAGGAGTAATTAAATATTTGATTTAGCTGTCGCAGCAGCAACTTTTCTTCGATATATATATATAAATTATTTGCACAGAAAAAGGTCTCAAAAGTTTGTAGACTAAAGTCGCTGTTTAAAGTTTATGTTTATATATATATATAAAAGTATATATATATATATATATATGTATATATGTTTTGTAAAGAGCAAGAGGTGTGTACAAAAATAATTTAAGTTTTGCGCATTTGCATTGCGTTTTGTATTTTGTTTGCTCAGTTTTTTTTTGTCTTTCTTAATTTTACATTCCTAACACTGAGTATAGTTTTTGTTTTCTATATATTTCTGATTCGTTTTTCACTTTTCCGGCACATACAAAGATCGACACAATCGGGTTTTTTTCCTACATAAATATTGTTGTTTTTGTTTTTTTTGTTAAGGCTTTTCCTTTAGGTTTTTTTTTCTCGTTTTTATTATATATATATATATATATATATATATATGCATGTACTTCATAATCATTTTGACATAAGCATAATTATAATATTAATTTTATTGTTTTATATAAATTGTATATAAATTAAGGGCTTCTCTCATAACACTAAAAATTATATAACTGCACCCAAAAAATAGAAGAAATCAAGAAAAATGTTGTAAAATAAATTAAATAAAAATAAAATATATATAATAAACAAAATGATCTGTCGCATATACCATATAAAAAACATAAAATTATCAATGGTCAAAATATATGTGCGTGTGTGTTTGTGTGTTTGTGGGTGTGGGTGTGGGGTGTTGCATGTGTTTGTGTGTGTGTGTGTGTTGGTTTTCATAAATTATTAACATTAATTGCATATAAAATATATCTGGTATGTTTTATGTAAATAGATGTGAAAATAAATTATGGTGTTTTTGTTTCTTTTTTAAAAATCAGCATTTCCATTTCATAGATCGATTTAAGGAGTCGTACAAAAAGAATCGTAGTCATTCAAACAAAAAATAATAATTAAATCAAATAAAATAAAATAAAGATCAAAAATCAATGACAGAATTCCATTATTAAACTTCTTTTCAAAACGAAAAATTTGCTTTGTTGCTCGTTGGTCGTTGTTGTTTGTTGTTTGTTGTTGTGATTGGTTGCACGATTTGCAGAGGTATATCATCATCATCAATAATAATATTCATATCATCCAAGATCATCATAATCATTCGTAATCGTAATATAATTGTTAAACATAATTTATAAAAATTATCAAAATATTAACCCTCTCGTATGTACACAACGTTTTCTATTACATAAATTTAGCAAAAAAATAATAAATTAAAGAATTTCCTTAGCTCCTCATCCGTTTCTGTCCGTCTATCATTCTCATCTTGTTGGTTGTTTGATTGATTGGATTGGATTGGATTGGCTTGGCTTGGCTTGGCTTGGATTGGAAGACATCGGACCACCAACTCTTTCACTCTCTTCATCCACATCTAGGGATATATACAGAGGTGCTCTGGCCATACATATATATAATCAATTTTCTTTTTTTTACATAAGACTAATCCAAAGTGCCTGGCATATATATACATATATATATATAGGAGACAGTTGGTGTGCTGGGGTTTCTAATGGGTGCACTGCAGTAGGTTCTATAATAAATGCAGGAACGATATTCACACGTTCGTCGTTGGCCGTTTGTGTTCTTTTTTTTTCGATTTTTGATTTTCATTTTTTGAGCAACATTCGCTGAAGATTCCCAATGTAGTCCGTTCTTTTTTTTTTTTGTCCAGTTTTTAAGAATGTTTCGTGTTTAGCTTTCATCGCTTTTTGTTTTGTTTCTTTTTTTTTTAGTATTTAGTTTTAGGTTTTAAGATCATCGTTTGCTTGGATTGTTTGTTTGTCATTTACGTATCATCTATCTGTCTAATCGTTCGGTCCTTCTCATATACATATATATATATATATATATATATACATATGTATATATATATATATATATACATATATATAGCGATAACGATAACGATTGACTGTCACAGCATGAGAGAAATCATATATCAAAGATCGTTTCACAATTAAAAAGGAAAGGAAGGATGGAAGTTCTGTGCCTGGCAGTGGCCTGCTTTATCGGTGGCGTATACTTGATATACACTTCATCGCCAGCTGCCTTTTGGGAGAATTTTGGTTTTGGATTGCAGGAAGGAGTTGGGTTCTGGTTTCCCCATTAAAAGGTATCTAGTTTTTCCATTAAAAAGGAAAGGAGGGATGGAAGTTCTGTGCTAGGCAGTGGCCTGCTTTGTCGGTGGCGTATACTTAATATACACTTAATCGCCAGCTGCCTTTTGGAAGGAACTTTGGGTTTTGGATTGCAGAAAGGAGTTTGGTTCTGGTTTTTCCATGGATTGGTCGTTACTGAGATTTTGTCAAGGATGCTGTAGTTGTTGTTGCTGTTTGCTGTTTGTTGTTTGTTTTTGTTAATGGAGGGATGCGTTGATGGGCGTGAGGAGTGTTGGATGTTGGTTAGAGGCATCTCTGACTACTACTCTTAGAGTCCCAAATTGGACTGCTGCTGGTAGGCCTCCACCGCGGAGCTGAGACGATTGAATACCGGCAACCTGGGGCTATCCTCCTGCTGCATCGGTGTGCTGATGCTCTTCTGCAACAGCTGCTTGCCCGCTCCAGATCCAGATCCAGATCCACCACTGACGACGACATCGTATGGCGGTGGCGTATGCACTGGCGAAATGGGTACATTGGGACTCTCGGGCGGCGTAGCCGGTCCATGATGACCCATACCCATACCCATGGCCATGCTTTGGGCCATGCTTCCAATTGGCATGCCCATGCTCATACCCAGTCCCAAGCCCGAGGCTGAGGATGTGGACGAGGCAGAACTGTGACTCTTGGCACCTTTGGAGGCCAAAAAGGCCTGCTGCATCTGCAGGTTATCATGGAATGGGAAGTTGGTCAAGGAATTTGTGGGGCTGAGGGACAGAGATCCAGTGGGCGATTCCCGATCCGATCCTGTGCTCATGCTCAGCGGCGGGCTCAACGGCAAGTAGAACTGGCTACTGTTGTTGCTGCCGCTGCTGCTGTTGCTGCTGCTATTATTGCTACTCTGGTTGCTCTTCGCCGACGACGAGGATGAGGACGAAGACGATGACTGCTGCTGTTGCTGTTGCTGTTGTTGCTGCTGCTGCGACTGTGACTGCGACTGGGAAGAGGACTTGGCTGCCTGGGCTGCCTGCTGGGCACGTGCCTCGTCCGCATTGTGGACAAAATGACAGCGCGGTCCATAAGGACAGAAGCCAACACTGTGGAAGGTGCGGCAATACTCCGTCTTGTATTTGGGATGACGCTGCAGGTTGCGCAGCTCGTGGTAACCATGAGCAAACTGACACTTCTCGCCGTACTTGCATTCGCCGGCCTCCTCGAACGGGCGGCACAGCTCCGTCTTGTATCTGTGGAAGGACATATGAATTAGTTAAAGTTCTCAAGTAGAAGGGGAAGTAATTTAAGTTGAATTCTTAGTCTAAAAGAAATACGAATTGTGATTGGTTTATGTCCCAAAGAGAGACTCTTTTATTTTTGGCTAACATCCTTTTGTCTTTTCCCTTTGCTTGTTAGGGAATTTCAACTATCATTCATCTTACCTGGATGTGTTCATCGGCTGCTGTGGCAGTGGCTCCGACTGTGTCCTCTCTAGCTTTCGGTGCAGGTTTATGTTGCTCAGGTTCTCCATGATGGTCACCAAACTGGCCACCGGCTGATGTTGCTGCTGCTGCTGTTGTTGCTGCTGCTGTTGCTGTTGCTGTTGCTGCTGTTGAATAAGCTGGGCCGGCTGTGAAATGGTGCGTGTGAGGGCGCCATGGAGACGATGTGGTTGCTGTTGCTGCTCCATGTTGCTGCTATCCAGGACTAGCTCCACTTGCTGCTGCTGCTGCTGCTGTTGCTGGAGATGATCGCGATCACGATAGCTGGCCACCTGTGAATGCAAAAGTTGAAAAACCAAAATCAATTTCTGTGTTTCTCGGGGCGTATACGTAACGAGCGAATATTTCGCAAAAATCCCAAAAACTAAAATAACCAAAAAAAAAAGAAGTAAAAAAAAATAATAATAAAAGAGAGGACGTTAAAAAAAAGAAGCGCAAGGCAAAAGCAGCACAAAGCCAAAAGCCAAGCTCACTTTTACTTTTAACTTGACCTATAAGCAAAAGCAGAGGAAGAAGAAGAAGAAGAAGAAGAAGAAGCAGAAGCAGAAAAACCCAACCAACACACGGACAAAAACCTAGACGACTGAGAGAAATATTGCAAAAGGCGCACACACAAAAATGTTATAATTTTCCAGACATTAAACAAGCGCCAAGAAAAACCAGCTACCTCTCTTTTTTCCAACTTGTATTGGCCACCATCTCTCACCCCCCCTCCCCACCTGTCTGGCCTTAACCACTGTTACCACTCTTTCAATAAACCCACCCGTCCCCCCGCCCCCATCTCTTGATTTCGTGTCGTCATCAGTTTCGGTTTTGTTTCTTTTTTTTATTTATTTTTTTTACATTTTTTTTTTTTTGGGAACGCAACGTCCGACTTGGCTTGTTCATTTTCGTGCGATGCTGTAACATGTTATGCAACCAGTTAACACACACACACACAACCACACTTACTGTGATACTCAGACTTGGGCACTTAGCCCACTCCATCAAGCGTGGCCAAAACTAACAATAACAACAACAACCACTACCAATTACATATGTATAGAGCTCAAGTTCAAGCCAACAACAACAGCACACCAACACACACACACAATCTCGACACGAAAGGCAGGCAAAGTCGGCAGAGGAAAAAAAGAGGCTGAAAAGCTGAAGCTCGATAAAACCGAAGCTCAAAAGCCGGAGCTAAGCAAAAAGACAACAACAAGATTTTTGGGGCTACACAACCAGTAATCAACCGCCTCAGCCCCTCTAAGCGCCCCCCTTTGTGCTTATAAAACCTCTTACCCCCTCGTCCCTCCAGGCCCCTTTGAAAACCCAACACAATTTGCCACTCTCCACAGACGAAAAACTGGTTGGGCTTGCTCAACAAGTGCGACAGAAAAAGCTATATTGAGGGTGTGTGGCGATGTTGAGGGAGCGCAAAAGAGACAGCATGAGGCGGTGGCGCATGCGCACCGACCGTAAACAGGGTTTCCAGGGTATTGCATTAAGAGATTGTAAAAATCACAAGAAAATTGAAGTAAAAACTTAAGAAATATAAAAAAACAGGAATTCTTACAAAAATGAAAAGCAACTCTAGAAATAAAAAGGAACACAGGATATACTAATTCAAAAGACATGAAAATGTTAAGTTAAATACGTTTTAAATCCTATATAGTAAACGTCTAAAGTGACTGACAATGTGTATGTTAAACAACATAAACAATTCTGCTAAGATAGTTTTTTTTAAAAGTTTTCTAACCAAAATTCGAAAACAAAAAGAAATTTAAGAATTATAAACTTTATAGACCACAAATCTCGCAGGATTTAGATTAGTGCTGTGGACGACTAGCAGATGTTCAACTTGCACGAGATATATAGTATAGAACGACGACCTAACTTGTGATTACAGAATGATATAGCCCACTTAGAGTGTCGTTATCTCGGCAGACTTTTATGAGTGATGAGGATTGGGGATGTGGATTGGAGATGGTGGCTGGTGGTTGGTGGTTGGGGGATGTCAAGACACATAAAAAGAGGCAGCCAGTCAAACACAGATGAGGCACATAACAAATAAATATTTATATATACATATGCACTTCATTTAGGTTATCTTTGGCCCGATTTTAACAACAACAACAACAGCTACAATGCACATACAATCTGACATTCCTTGAAATTTCATAAATATCATGAGTAAGTCCATCCATCCATTCCAGAACTGGCTGAACGGGCCAAACGAAACGAAACAAAACAATTTAAATGTTCAATTAATTAATTTGCCTGCCCAATCAGTTTAGAAGCTATATATGAATGTATATATATATATATGTACATATATAGCCGATGTTCTTGTCGTCGATCGGTTATCTTATCTGCCGTCGTCCCGTCCCATTTGGCATCGTGTTGTTTTGATTTCTGGCCTCACTTTTATTTCACCATTGGCATTGGCATTGAAGGGTAAGTAAGTAAGTGAGTAAGTACCACTTTTCTATTCGAGTACAAGGTTCTGAGGGGGTGTGGTAAGAATTACACCACATTGGTACTTTGACGTACCACCTTTGAGGTAATCAAAACAAGACCCAATGATTGTAGAAAGTGATACAAGTTGTAAACTTTGTCAGTCTCAATTACATTCAATAAAAATCGACTCATTTTCAGTACTTTGCAGTACCTACAGGTACAAACTGGCTATAGGAAACTATTTATGAAAGTTAGCATTATCAACTTTCTAAAACATAACCTTCTCAGAACATATATGTTTATAAAGATATAGTATTTCCTAAATCCAGTAACCGAAACCCAATTAAGGGTAAAATTTCTGCCAATTTATTGTACTTTGATATTGTTGTTTTCGAGGAAATGGTCAGTTTATAATCTTTAGGCCATACAGTTAGCCTAGGAAAATAATCACTGGTTTTTCCCCTAGTAAAAAATTCAAGAGAAAAACATTTGAACTTCCTGCATTGGCTCGTTAATTAGTCAGCTGACATTGACGGCCACCTGGCAACCCTGTTTCTCAGTTTCCCATTTTCAGTTTCAATTTCAGTCTGTAACTCTGCACAGACAGCAGAAAAAGGAAGAAAAAAAAACACATTAACGAGCAAGCGCAACAAGTTTAGCAAACCTTTGGCGCTGTTTTTTTATTTTTTGTATTTTGACCAACTTCAACGCTTACGGCATCTTTGCGACTGCGACTGCGACTGCGGATACGGTTGCTGCCTCCTGCTCAGGCTTTTGATTTTGCGTTTGCTTTTTGCCTTTTGCCTTTGGCTTGCACCAAGTACCATAAATAAGATCCAAGTTTATGCCTGGTAATTTACGATTTCTTCATTTTGAAAACCCCATAAAAACCCAACAGAGGCCACCCTTGAAAAGTATTACTCATTTGCCTTAAGCAAAAGGTACAGGCGTTAATCTTAAAGTTTCACAAAAACAAAAAAAATCACTCTATTAAATATTTACGCAAAGAGTTTCGGCAAAGTGCTTAATATTTAGTTAATATATTTCACTTTACTTTAGAGAGCCTGTCTACGAAAAGTATCTTTAACGAATACTTTAAACCATATTAACATATTAAAACAAACTATAAATCGTTTTATTTTCAACTTCATAAAAAGTCTCGGAAGATAAGTTTTAATGGCAAATAAAACAAGAGTTATTGGTAATCGAAAGCTAAGTGATATCTTTTAAAATGCCATTAATCTTTCAATAAACATTTATGCCAAACCGAAAGTGAAATTGGATCATGAGCCCAAATTCCGGTTGGCAATTCGAAATACAAAAAAAAAAAAGTGAAAATCGGTATCAGGTGAAGAAATCTCACTTCCGCAACGAAAAACCCAAAGATAACCTTCAAACACGACGCGTTTTTTATACTTGTCTGTGTGTGTGTGTGTGTGTGTGTCAATTATGTAGTTTTTTGTTGAATTTTGCACAGCTGTTTTTGGGGACAACGACGTTGAATTCATGGTCAAGTTATGACGACGATTCGTGAACTGATTTCGCAAAGAGTGGTGCGCATAAACTCGATTTTGTTAGTGGGGTGAGTGAGTAATGGGTGATAAAATGGGGTGGAAAGGGGTAAAAGGGGTTTCTTTATTTTTCATGCTTTTTTCCTTTTAAACGTGTTCGACAAAAAACAACTTCAAGACAATCTACAAGCCTCCTCCTCCTCACAACCCCTTGTCTCCCTCTCACTCACTCTATCTCTTTCTTTGGCCGGTGGTGTGTGGTTTGTGTAAAAACAAGATTAAGACCCATTTTGGCAGAAGCCGAAGAAGAAGCAGGGGGGGGAGTTCGAAGCTAGATCTGCGGTTCATTTCAAAACTCTTGTTTTTTTCCGCTTTTTTTTTCTTTCCTGTTTTTCCGTGTTATGTATTAAGCTTTGCTCTCTTTCTATTGCCAGCCAGCCGTCTCTTTCTGTTCGTGACTCCACACATCTCTCGTTCGCTCTTTCTTTCTTTCTGGCTTTCGTCTAGGCGAGAATTTCCCTTTCATTTGAAAATGAAAATAAGTTTACTTTTCTTTGAGTCATGCTTTGGCTTATTTTTCTTCTAGCTCTTCTTGTTTTTCTTCAACTTGCTGCTAGAAGACTGTCTTCTGTTTTTCCCCCTCGCTGCTTTCTTCTCAATGTTTTTCTTGTTTTCTTGGCACTTGTGTTTTGATCGCCTGGTTTTTTCTGTTTTCCGTTTCATTGTTGCGGTGGGTTAAGACACAAGACAAAAAAAAAACAGAAGACTAGAGAGGGATAGGCAGAGAGTGTGTGTGGGTGGAAAAGAATGGGGTTGTGCATACCACAACGAGAGGAGTTACGGACATTAGACCTTGAAGCTTTTTGGTTTTTGCAAATTTGCTATTTTCAAAACTTCAGGTTTAATGCAGTGCGTTATGCACTGTAATTACTTCAAGTCAAGGGTTGCTAACTTTAAGTAAACTTTAAGAAGTAAGTCGTCAAGTTAGGTAATTAAATCGTTATCAAATTTGAATCACTTTGAATGCTTGGAAATAAAATTAAACAATCAAGTTTCAAACTTAGAATTCGTAAACGAATGTTTTTTGTTTTAACCGGTAAATGCTTTTTGTGATAATTTTAGATTCTAAAAAGCCCTGTAAATGGGTAAGATTTATATTGCCTTCGATTAAGTTTTGAAAAACTATCAGAAAATCTTATAAAAGGGAGCTATATGATTATAAAGATAGCCCTTAAAAACTCCCTATAACATGTTACCAAAGCTTATTTTTATGATACTAATCATGTTAGGTGTGTAATATCATATCTAGCCCCTAAGTT